TGAATCCCCATCATTGGAGGTTTTTAAGGACAGGTTAGACAATCATCTGTCAGGCATGGTCTAGGTCAGGGGTGGGCAAACTATGGCCCGTGGGCCGGACTCGGCCCGCCAGTCATTTTAATCTGGCCCTCAAGCTCCCGCTCCCGTGCTCCAGCTGGGGAGCAGGGTCGGGGGCCACTCTGCGTGGCTCCCGGAAGCAGTGGCATGTCCCCCCTCTGGCTCCTACACATAGGGGCAGCCAGGGGGCTCCGCACGCTCCTCCTGCCCCAAGCGCCACCCCCGCAGCTCCCATTGGTCGGGAACCACGACCAATGGGAGCTGCAGGGGCGGCGCATGCGGACGGGGCAGCACGCAGCAGAGCCGCCTGGCCGCACCTGCGTGTAGAAGCTGGAATGGGGAACATGCCGCTGCTTCCAGGAGCTGCTTGAGGTAAGCGCTGCCCAGAGCCTGCACCCCTGAGGCACCCTCATCCCCTCCCGAACCCCAATTTGGTGAGGATTCATGTCCCGCCATACAATTTCCATACCCAGATGGGGCCCTCGGGCCAAAAAGTTTGCCCACCTCTTGTCTAGGTTTACTTGGTGCTCTCTCAGTGGGGAAGCTTGGACTTGATGACCTCTTGAGGCCCCTTCCAGACTGACATTTCTATGATTCTCTCACCAGTTTTATACTGTGTTTATGTCTATATAACTTCATTGACTTTTGTGGTTTTACTTCTGATTTGCACCAGCACGGTTAAGAGTAGAATAAGGCCCCCACTATAACTGTCATGCTTATAATTGTTATAATTGTGAGCGCTGTCCTTCAGATGATCCAGTTGGAAGGACAATACCAACTATTTCACAAATGGAATAGCTCCTGCATCAATCCCTGGAAGAAAGGGAGCTAACCATTGATGCTACCTAACTTAGAATAGTGTCCTTCAGTTCTACACCTGTAATTTTGTGCCTGTAAATCTAGTAACTTGACAACTAGTGCAACAAATCATACCAGTGATTATCTGCAGACACAAAATCGTACACCATTCTAAATATCAGGGTCGTCAACATCTCGGCTGATTTGTCAAGTCATGAAACTTCTTTTTGTAGGATATAGCAGCTGCCCTATTTCTAGCACATGTCAAGAGATTTGTCTCTTTTTCTCTGTGATACTGTCTGCTTGGCAGCCTCAATAAATGCAATCCCCGGTTTACTGGGGAGAAGGAAGATTACTTTTGACACCACCATGTTGCTTTTATGATCTTGGCTATCTTTGCACTTGTACAGGAGGGCTTGCCGGTGAACAGTAGCTGCACATACAGCTCTTTGAAGTGATAGCTGTGTTGAGAGCATGAGATGGGGTCAAGATTAATAAATACAGCTGTTACCAGGCCCTTTTCTCTGGCTCAGAAATCATTTGCTCAGGGCAAAACAGCTTCATAGGACATAAAAGAAAATATATCTTTCAACAGAATCTAACAGGTGGAGAATGATTCCATCTCCCATCTGGTTCATGCTGCTCTAAACCGTTGTTTGCTTAGAGCATCTTATGTTTGTTTGGTTTTTAAAATTAATTCTGTAATTGAGAATTTCTGCTCTTGGATCATCCCTAATTCAGTTCCAAAGATGTCATGGCAGCTTGAATTCCACCTGAGCTCGTTTCTTTGAATGTTTTTAAAGGGATATTGCCCAGATAGTAGTCACATTAATAACAATAATAAATGGCCATACTCTAATTATGACATAGGGCCTGATTTTGATCCACTTATACTTGTGTAAATCAGAAGTAATTTCACTGAACTCAGCTGAGTAACAAGTTGTAAAAATGGTACAGGTGAGATCAAAATAAGGAACTTGGACCATAACTGTAAAATTCTGAAAATCGAGTTTGTAGTTCTTTTTAGTACCATTTCTGCTATTTATTTCCTTTATTCCATCTGACTTAGCTTGGCAAGGTCAGTTCATTTTCCGCTTCTAGTTAGTTTTGCTTTCTGGCTCTCATGCACTAGCATTATGCTGCTGTATTTGGATTTCTAGTATTTCAGGGCACAGGAGGATGGGGGAGAGTTTTTTCCCTTGGATTTTAAACAAAATCCAAAGTTTAAATTAAAATATTTCTATTCACACTGAGCCAAATTTCCAAAAGCAGCCTTTAAGATTGCCTGTCATTTTGAACACACAATTCCTTGTATATAGTTTTTTGCACATATGTGCAGTCTCAGACTAATCCATGCAGACCAGGTAGCTGGATATCAGATTTCCCTGATGCATTCAAATCAACATTTCTGAACATGCAAAAATGTACTTGTGAAAAATAGTCTGTATGTAATTGTGCATGGAGTATCTGGTTGAGTGCTGGTTGAAGCTCCTGCAATAGTTTGCTCCTCCTTTTTGTCTGTGGAACAAAATTTACTAACATGGAGTCCTAAACTAGGCCAACATTATCCCTTTAATGCAGTTTTTAGTTCAGAAAAACTGTTTTCCAACCAAACATAACTATGAAATGCAGCCACAAACAGTGATCCCCAAACTCAACAGTTTCCCGTCCCTCTCTCCTAGTGGTGATCCTGTTTTCTGTAACTTTCACACTGTAATTTCATGATGTGGACATGTGACTCTTCTGTCATTAGAGGAGGCACAGGGAGTCATGTTCCTGGCCTTGTGTAGCTGTGAGAGAAATGAATGGCTCTTGGCTGCTCATAGCTTTCAGAAAGGGTTTTTCTGTAATTAACCATCTGCTGCAAAAGCAGGATTACTTATGTTTGTTTCACTTGGAAACCGGCTGTTTCCACTCTCAACAAAATACCTTTGAAAACCCTCCTGCCATCCATGTGCCTCTCTCCAACAATGGGTCAGAGGAGAAAGTGAGCTATTGTAAAAATGAGAGTCTTTCAAAGGAATGTTTATGGGCCAAGAAAAGTTGACCATATGGGCCCTCACCCAAGGAACTACAAATCAAGCACCAAAACCCGCCCCAGGAATCTGCCATTGAGATTCCACAATGCATTTTCATGGTTTCTATTTATTTTTTTGAAGAGGGGATTGTATATGGCTTGGCTTGAGTGTTTCAGTATATGTTTCTGGCTGTTGGGGATGCTGGCAGAAGATAAAACGTTGTCAGCTCATTTTCCATCAGTAGCGCTCTGTCATTCCATTAGGGCAGGAAATATCTCACTCCGTTAGTGAGTGAATTTGACTTTAGTGTGGATCAGAAAGAGGACCCCTAGAGTTAAATACAGCTCCCTGTACCAGCTGTGTAGCATAAAACAGCCATGGCTCTTAGCCAAGTGACCACCCTCAGGATTTGACATGCGTTGGCACCACATGGTTTGCAACACAGAAGGGTTTGGGAAAGAAGGGGAGGGGGAGAGTTAAGAGATGTTCTAGTGAAAGGAGGTTTTACTCTGGGACTTCCTTGCTGAATCATTACCATAAAGACACTAGTATTCTGCTATAATAGGTCATTATTGTAGGTGCTGGATATTTGTTTAATCAAGGTATTTATTCAAGAAGACCCTGAGTTGAGAGCTGAGGTTCTCCTAGTCTTAACATTGTTTTGTGAAACCCCACAGTACCCCTATCAATAAGGTAGGAATGATCATCCATCTTCTACAATTAGGGAAGCTGAAGCAGAGAGGCCAAAATGTTCAAATATGGAGATATCCTATCTCCTAGAACTGGAAGGGACCCTGAAAGGTCATCGAGTCCAGCCCCCTGCCTTCACTAGCAGGACCAGGTACTGATTTTTCCACAGATCCCGAAGTGGCCCCCTCAAGGATTGAACTCACAACGCTGAGTTTAGCAGGCCAATGCTCAAACCACTGAGTAGTGGCTTGATTCTCAGAGGTGCTGAGCACTAAACAAATCCAATTGACTTCACTGAGACCTATGTGTGCTTAGCATCTATGAACATCAGGCTACCCATTTCAAGTGTCCAACTCTGAATTTAGGTGTCTAGCTTTATGCATCCAAGTTTGAAAATGTGGATTTCAGTGCCTTGCCCAAGGTCATATAGCAAGTCAGCGGAAGAGCTGGGTGGGACTAGATCAGGAGTACTGGCCTTTGGCCTGGACACCCAAAAAATTGTGCCACCCAGAATTAGTGAATACAACTGAAAATGTAGGTCTTAACCTCTTTGTACCTTGGTCTACCTGTCTGAAAAATTGGAACAGCAATAGAATTATAGAATCATAGAAGTTTAGGGTTGGAAGAGACCTCAAGAGGTCATCTAGTCCAACCCCAACTAAATCATCCCAGTCAGGGCTTTGTCAAGCCAGGCCTTAAAACCCTCTAAGGATGGAGATTCCATCACCTCCCTAGGTAACCCCTTCCAGTGCTTCACCACCCTCCTAGTGAAATAGTTTTTCCTAATATCCAGCCTAGACCTCCTCCACTGCAACTTGAGAATATTGCTCCTTGTTCTGTCATCTGCCACCACTGAGAACAGCCGAGCTCCATCCTCTTTGGAACCTCCCTTCAGGTAGTTGAAGGCTGCTATCAAATCCCCCCTCACTCTTCTCTTCTGCAGACTAAATAAGGCCAGTTCCCTCAACCTCTCCTCGTAAGTCATGTGCCCCAGCCCCCTAATCATTTTTGTTGCCCTACGCTGGACTCTTTCCAATTTGTCCACATCCCTTCTGTAGTGGGGGCCCAAAACGGGACATAGTACTCCAGATGTGGCCTCAACAGTGCTGAATAGAGGGGAATAATCACTTCCCTCGAATACCTGCCTGTTAGGAATGTTGAGACTTAAATTGTTTCTTCAGACACATTGCAGTGAACATCCCAGATAAGACACAGGAACATTATTTTGTGAGGGCATCTGTGACTTCCTCTGATAATCTGAGAACACTGGGTTATACACTATTGCCAACCCAGAGGAATAGAAGCAGTCTCAGCTGGACTCAGCTTTGCAGCTGGAAGCACCTCCAAGTGATTTGGTAGAATATTTCTTATTGATGACCTCTGGGCTGTCTAGCAGTCTGTTTTCTCTGACCGTCCATCTCTCTGCTTTCCAATCAGATGCAGACTCTGTACGCTTTTGATGAAGAAGAAACAGAAATGAGGAACAAAATAGTTGAAGACTTGAAAACAGCTCTGCGGACTCAACCAATGAGGTAATTGTTGTTCATCTCCTCTTTCACCCACTCCTTCACAGGGCTATATCTGACACAGGAAACGGTGGCAGTGAGAGAACCTTCAGCAGATTGTGGGCAGGTACCCAGTTGTTTCATCTTCAAAGACAGCAAGAAAGCCTTCTTTGGTAGCTCATAATTTTGATAGGGGACCTTGCAACCCTCACCTCTAAACACTCCATCCAGGTGCATGTGTGGAGTAATGAATGTGCCTCCAGGAAAGCATAGACAAGTTGCATTATTAGAAACCTGAAGAAGGTCTTTGAAGATAGAGGTGAAAATTGTGGTAATCAGATTCTAGACCGCATGGCGTGCGGTACCCCGCGTATATTAGTGAATTAAGGATGGCATGTCAGTCTTAACTCTCGAACTTCGTTGGATTCAAATATCCCTTATCTAGAGCAACTCAGAATGCAAAGTATGAAACATCCAAGTCATCTGACATGCATCTGGTGTGGGATTTTGTTCCTGTGATGCATGTAGCTATGAGAATGTAGCAAGATGTTTGATTATATGACGGGTTTGTCTGTGATAGCAGAGGACTCTATGATCTAGGAGGTCTCTTCTAGGCTTGTATTCTTAAGTTGTTGTTTTTTGTTTGTTTTCTGTATATTTATGTACTGCACCTTCAAAAATCTAAGGTCACCTTTTGTTTGCTGGGTGCAGCAATAATGAATAATTACAAGCTGGCTACTTTAGAGACTCTTTACATTGGAAAGCACAGTGTACAGAAAACAGATCCATAACAGGTGTGATCTCAGGAAGTAGAGTGGATTAGTCAAAAAGTTCATGAACATTTCACAAGGCCTGAGATTGACTGATGTATCTGCATCCAAACCATGCAGAAGTCAGTTTCCTGGGGCTTCAATACATACCCTGGTGAAGTGTGACAGTTCCATGGTGAGTTCTGAACAGGGCCGGCTCCAGGCACCAGCTTAACAAGCAGGTGCTTGGGGCGGCCAAGGGAGAGGGGCGGCACCTGCGGCAATTCGGGGGCAGCAGGTCCCTCACTCCCTCTAGGAGCGAAGGACCTGCTGCTGAACTGCCGCCGCCGATCGCAGCTTTTTTTTTTTTTTCCCAATTGGCGGGGGGGGGCGGGGGTTTTTTTTTTTTTTTTTTGCTTGGGGCGGCAGAAATGCTGGAGCCAGCCCTGGTTCTGAAGCGAAAGCTCCAAGTGGCACCAAGAGAGGAACCACAAAGGTACTAACTCCCACTGAAACCATCCACCTTTGTGAATGCCACCTCCAAGAGCGTTGGGAACCCAGGTGGATGGCAATTGAGAAGAATCTCTTTCTCACGTGTTCCTGCAAAGCCAAATGGCTGAGTTTTGCATGTCTGTGCCCTTCATGATGTTGCAACATTTTTTTGTGAGCACGAATTATATAGACGTGTGGACTTAGTAAAGGGTCAAATTGAATGTGATTGATGCAGTTACACCAGCGATAATTCTGGAGCATGTTCCAATTAACCAAACCAAACAGCTGGGAGCAATGATTGAAATAGAGGTTGTTTTCTCCCTTTATGCAGAGGGTTGTACAGCTGGCTGGGTGGTGCATGTGCATGCATGCACAGCTTCCTCCAAAGCATCAGGTATTAGTCCCTGGGGGAGGCAGGATGGAGTCATTGATGGACCAGTGGCTTGATTCATTATGGCAAATCCTAAATCGTCGTAACTATAACAGGAAGCCAGTCCTCTCTTGTCAGGATTTGTTTTCTTCCTCCCTCCATGCAGGAAAGCATAGTCCACTCAAAGCTCCTGAAAATGTGACCCTGTAAGAGAGCAACAAAAAGGGTGTGTTGTTTGCCATGTCATCCATAAATCTGAGTCCTGCCCCTCACACACTCTAATAATCTGCTGTGTATGTCAAGTGGGGGCAGTGTGAGAAAGCAGCTAATGCCATGTTATCTCAGGAAAAATCCAGAGAGTAGGAAATATGTTAATCTGAGGAGAAAGAACCCACTGTTCTTTGCTTTGCTTGATACAGGCCCCATTAAGAATTCACTAGGGTGCTAACTACCTGCTTTCCAGGAGCAAAAACAACTTTTATTATGATGCTTGTTCTCTGTTCTGCAGGGATGTGAAGGGAACATCTAAAAAGCAGACTATGTTACTGGTGCAGCCTTCCTACAAGGCCTCTCTCTTGAAAGAGCTCTATAATTCTGAGTGCTTCGTGACACGCTGGGAATTCTGGATTCAGGTTTCAATCCCTCAAACTTTGGAGTTTTTTAGATCCAGGGATTTATTTTGGCCCATTAGAGAGAGAGAGAGGCTGGCCACTTGCAAAGTCCAGAGCTGGCTCTAGTTTTGGAATCAAGTTCAGGAATGTTCAGGTCTTGGATTTTGGTTTGGGACCCTCTCTAATTATAACTAGAGTGGGGACACCAGCAGATAGGAGGCTTCAGATCTGAGCTTTAGGAAAGTGAATCTGGATGCAGAGCCGGTATTGTGATTTGGGCTTGTCTTGATTATAAACCAGACAGGAACGCTGACAAACCTAATGCCCCTGGGCTACTCATGGTTTTTCCTAAGTATAGCCACCAATTAGAATTGGTGAAACATCTCCCAGAACATCTATTTGTGTTGCGCTCTGAATGTAAAGGAACCTCTATGCACTCGCATCTTCTTTTTGAGGCAGTAAGCAAATGGCCCATCACTTTAGCCTTTGGTCTTCCTCGGGCTGGGTGAGTGCATGCTCAGGTACTGGATGAGCATGCAGCTTTTAAGTGGAGAAGGGAGACTATGACTTATTGACCTGCTGGAATATTGTTCTCAAACTTGTTCATGATTTGAATCCATATTCAGCCCCTTGCCATCTGACTTCATCTAATGTAACCCAGAATCCTTTGTGGCAGTTTTGACAGAACTTCGTAGGAAGTGCTGTACTGTGACATACAGCACCTCCTCTGTCGTGAGTTTCAGGGCAGTGTAGCTGAAAGTAGTGAAATGATTTGGAGGATGTTGTTGGCATCTGCGGACAACCTGCTTGCAAGTGGCCATCTAATCTTGACTGCCTGTATTCTAGTCGCACAGCAAAGAACACAATACAATGCAAATTGACTTCAAGGATAAACAGGAAACATGGCAGCTTGCCACAACTTCCCCACTCTTAGGCCAGGTGCTGGTGTTTCAACCCACATGTCAATAGCTGCTGTGAAAGAATGTAATCAATCCTTTGCATTGGTGCAGATCTATTTTGAAGCGTATTCAATGAAATTGACAGACTTTCATCATGTCAGGTGAATACATTTATGGCAGCAAGCGGTGGAGCGAGACATTTCCATGGGCTTGAGTGTCCAGCTCAAACATATTCACTGCCACCAATGAGTTTCCTTCTATCCTTCAAGAAGGCCTTTCCAATAAGATCCCACTCCCAATCTCCTGGGGGAGGGGGGTATGTGAGTGGGGTAAAGGAAGTGTCTTCAGCCAAAGATCAGATTTTCAGGGCTTTCTCAACCAGTCCTGTGCTGCTTCAGCTGGGTCTCTCTGACAACAGGCATTCATTTAATTTGTTTATAATAATGAGCATTTGCACCAGCATCAATGAACTGTCGCATAAAGCGTTCCCTCTTAAATTGCTGACAGTGGCTTAGAACCTTTTTTTCCCATAGTTAAGCAAAGCCAAATTTTGAGTTAAGTCCGTGTCTCAACTAATTTCCAATGACTCGATTTGTTAGCTGCCAAACAGGCCTTGTGCCAATGCCCGATCAGCAAGCCAATTCCTTCTTTGACGAAAAGGATGCGGGGGTGGGGGAGCCACAGCTACATCAGATCCCTTCTGTAAGCAGCTCTGTACATAGGCCTTCAAGATACCAGTCTTTTTAGTTGAATTTGGACATGAATCCCATTTTCCAGGCCGTTTCTTTTCATTAGATCCCCGAGCAACATGGCAAATGAAAACCGAAACTTGTATCAAATGGAATGAACAGAATCTTTCTGCAGAGGGCACAGGATACTGATGGGGTGCCTTGGTTGCTTACCTGTAGGCATCTCTGTAAGAGGAGTCACTGAACAAAGTGTCCCCATGTGGATATGTACTTTCTAATACTGTAGAACGGAGTCCCTTTAACTGGGATAGCCATCTGTAAAATTTGAAATGATACACACCTGCATCTCGGGCATCTTTGTGAGGCTTAATTCAGTAAAGCACTCTGCTTTTCGATGAAAGTGCAATAGACATTCCATTTATAATAAACCAGTGTGTCTGTCTCAGTGCTTAGGAGCAGCCCTACAATAATAAATAAGTGCATGGATCTCGGTAGCAGCTGTATAAAAATAAGCCATTGCATGCATCCCAGTGCTCAGGAACAACCATAACTTTCAAGAAAATATGTATTGTAAGGAAACGGATTTTAATTTAAAGTTCCTCAAAGATTATTACTAGAATCGGTGAGAGAACAGCTTTGCTCTTCGTATTTCAGCACTTGAATATGGAAGTGCAGCAGCACAGTGAAAATGAAAGTTGATGAGGGGCACGAGAAGTTAACCCAACTTTCTGGAATCTTGGGAGAGTTTTGGTTCAAGTTTGAGGGCAAGGGGAGAAAGATCTTATTTAATCTGAATTATCAGCAATAAATGTCATCACTCTTCTGCCCTGCTCCAACCCTATTTTACCCAGTCTTAAAATAAATGGAGGTCGGGCTCTCTTTATTTTGGCTTGGTTTAGCCATGTGTCACTCCTGTGTACTTTAGCTGATCACTAATCTATCCAGCAAATGCAGCCTATTCTGCTTTGAATTTCAGGCAGGGCAGAGGTCCAAGGTTTGTCAGGGTTGTGCATGCCTCCTGATCCAAAGGCACTGTTGCAGCTAGCCTGGGAAACATCGCCTTGACTGTCAGTAGGGTGGGAACATCCTGCCCTCCCCACGCGCCTTCCCCCTCCCCACCCCCCCGGTTTATGTTCTTTCCGTCTTTCCCAAGCTGTGTCATTTCTCACAGTGAGGCTGCAGCACAATCTGTACAGGGATAGATCAGAGAATAAGACACAGCCATGGGGAAAATCACTGCCACATAGGCCCTGTCTACATTAGGATGAGAGGTGTGTTGTTAGGCTATGTTAGCTAATATTCAAATTAAAATGTTTTAAAACCCTAGTGTAGAACCCTGTTTTTAACATGAATTGCGCTGGTCAAGCAAAAACCTACAAGGAGCCTAGGGTTTAATTCAACCAATTTGGCACCTATTTAAAGCAGATGCTGCCTTGTCTACGCTGGAACTTGAGAATGTGTTACACAGGGCACGTTAGCAAACATGTTCTGACATCACACCTTTAAATCTCCATCTAAAACAAGGCCCTCATGTGCAACATATGGGGCATGTGGGAGGCAAATTGTACACGCACATAACACGATGATGGCACTCTTCCCTAGAAACTCGACTGCATGCCTCGTACATGCACAAGCATGTACGTGTGTGTGTGTGTGCATGCGCCTATGTACACACACACGCACAAGAGCACTAAGCAAATGTGATGATATAAATGGCATTCAGCCTAGGAGCTGAACTCTCCCATCTCTGTCTTGCATGCATCATGCGGGCCAAATAAATACACAATGAGAATGACATTTAGCTCATGAGCTGGACTCCCCCATCTCTCTCTCTCTCTCACTCACACATACAATTTATAGCTTTTCCTGATGACAGGGCACTAAGTGTTTTGACAAGGGAAGGTGACAATCCTAGCTTTATTCCTGCGTCTGATGTCAGCTGAGATTGGGAGGTAGTCAAGTTTGCTTCCTATTGAGTAACAGAGATTAGCGTTTTGCTCTCTGGACCAGATAGGATACAGGAAAATCCCGACATTGTTTGAAACTTCATCGTTAATCAAGGTCTATAACATTAATCTCTTTCCTGCACCTACCCTCCTGCTAGAGTGACCTCACCCTAGGAATCCTAGCAACGTTTCTCTGCCATTAGATTTATTTGGGTATTATGCTTGTGAGAATGTCACTGTGCCTTTCACAAATTATTTGTCACCTCGCCTTCAGAGCTGGGCTGGCAGAGGTAAATGAAAGTCACAGTGACTTGTATGTCTCGCACCAATAGCCGGTGCTCCATCTGGAAGTGGAATTCAGAAACCCTTGACTGACCAGGCTCTGAGTGATTTTCTTGAACCACTGGAGAATGCTGTGTCCTCAGGGTGGCATCAGTCTTAGCCTCCTCTCAGCCCTGGAGCTATTAGGATGGCAATGCTTTTGCCACTGGGTTTTGGTAATGAGTTTGGCAAGCCCTTGGATTCACAAAGAAACTTGGCAAGAATCACCGTGAAGAAATAGTTTTGAAGTAAATACGTTAGGACTCAGAGCTGATGATATGTGTTGTACCATCCTATTCAGGCTAGAAAATGGAGAAAGTTTCAGGCCCTTCTGGGACACAGCTGGCGAAACATCTAAAAGTGATCATTTCATGGCCATCTGCTAGTCTGCACAAAATGATTTTGGTCTCAGTCCAATTCTCAGTGGACACATGTATGACAGACACAGCACCACCACAGTTGGCCACGACTGCCTAAATTGCAGTCTCGGCAGAGAGGCCAGCAACCGAATGGGTCACAGATCCTGAACTACCCGTTAGTTTTCTTGCAACCACTTAGAATAACAAAAAGGGGTGTTCGGTGTCTTCCTGAATTCCTGGTGCACTCTGTGTGGTCTTTCCATCTACCTGGGGGAAGAGGGGCTTCTCTTCCCGTTGCTCATACAGATAGTTAGGATGGTGCACCCAAAAGACAAGTAATTTGTGATCAGAGCAGTATGAAACTTGACAGTTTTGCTGAGCTGAGTTAATGAAATCCCTCTTCTCATTGTTGGTGCATGTGTGTTTGGCCCCTTCTAAAATTTGCTTTGAAGTTCAGGTTTGAACAAACCTCAGAGCAAAACTCATCTGAAACCACCAGGTTTTGCCTGGTTTCTGCTCAGAACTGTTGGTCCAAGTAAGCTGAAAGTTGGCAAACTGTCTAGTATATCTGGCCCAACTTTCAGGTAGGCCATGACATTTTCTGTGTGGTAAAGTGGAGTACCAACCACAGGACTGGCTGACCTATTTCTAATGTGCATTGTATACTAATACATCATTGAAGCTCAGGAGTGTTCTTGTGCACAGAGATGAGAACTGAAAGCAATGACACACACACTTGGAGCCGCTCAGTGTTCACAAGTTGGACAGGGAACTGGATGGGATCCTGTTCACTTCACTTTGCCTAGGACCCCAAATTATTAAGCCTACTGGAAACTCACAGTGAAACTCAGCTAAAACCAATGGGGTGAATTTGTTCCCAGTATTATTCCACTGACTTCAATGGACTCAGTTAACTTCAGTGGATTAATTCCAGGGATAAACTGACCCATCATGTTTTTATCTTTGGTTTGAATGAAACTATAGACCCCTCCTTGGGCTTTTTCTATGTTGTATCCATCAAGATTAGTGCATGATCTTTATCTGAAACCAGACACGTTTTGCCTGGTTTCATAATGAAAGTTTGACACAGAACCCAGTGACTTGAAAAGTGACCCAAAACTTGTTCCAACACCGCTTTATTCCATGCTGTTCCTTCTGCAAATTCACTGTCTACATATCTAGTCTATTTGTGTCCTCATGCCAGACCCTGGTGGTATCCATGGTGGTCATTGTGTCTGCTCCCTTCTTAAGCACATCTCCTGCCAGCAGAGATTATACAAGCCATTTTTGGAGTTTTGCCTGATCCAGGACTGTGGGCCCTATAGATTTTGCCAGTATATAGGAATCTTTTCACCAGCCATTGAAATGCAGCAGCCGTTGAGATTGAACGTGGTAGTTATTATACAGTAACACTGTCCAAGCACACAGGACAGGGGAAACAAAAGGTGGGATTTGAAGCAGACAGAATGCAATTACCTAAATTAGAAAATGACCATGACAACAAGACTGACCGTCTGTTTGCAACGTGTTGCCTGGAATCATCTGGAGTTATCTAGGCTACCAATTGCTCTGTTCTTAGGATCATAGTTCCATAGTCTATTAATTTGATGCCTATTGTACAATTTGCCTTAATTCTGTTTTCCTCCCTTTCCCTTCAGGTTTGTGACCAGGTTTATTGAGCTGGATGGCCTGACCTGTTTGTTGAACTTCCTGAAGAGCATGGACTATGAGACTTCAGAGAGCCGCATACACACATCCGTTATAGGGTGTATCAAGGCACTGATGAACAACTCCCAGGGACGGGCACACGTCCTGGCCCATCCAGAAAGTATCAATATCATCTCCCAGAGCTTACGGACTGAGAACATCAAGACCAAAATCGCTGTGCTGGAGATCCTCGGGGCTGTGTGCCTGGTGCCGGATGGCCATAAGAAGGTCCTACAGGCCATGCTTCACTACCAGGTCTATGCTGCAGAGAGGACAAGATTCCAGGTATAAACACGCTCAGCCAACAATGCCCAACACCATGCATCTTTGAAAAGGGTGATTTATACTTCTACACAGTGTATAACATTGTCAGAGGCATAAAGTCCATTTTCCTCACCTGGACTTTGGATCAACCAAAGTAGTGTCAACTCCCCCACATAGATTATTTATCTATTCTACATATTCTACAGTCAGTCACTGCTATCAATGCTGATTTAAAGCTACTGTGCTTTACCTTAAAACTGAGTCTTGCTGTATTAATGACAGGCTTTCAGTAATCTCACACTCTAACCTAGACTGATGTCATCTATTGGGTGCCCGTTACCATACTATTTAAGTGCCAATAGCATAAAAGCCCCAGGGGCTTCTGTAATGCTTTTAAGGTCAATTCTGTCATAATGCAGAAAGTATGGAGTCAATGATCTATAGCAAAAGCCATTAATAAGCCAACATTTACCAGTTGTTACCCCCACAGTTAGCACAGATATTTCCTGTTCAAAGTATAAAGGAAGAACTCAGAAAGATAGATTACTGACTTTCTAGTTGTGGGGATTATAAATTGATGCCATGACCTGCCTCTTCCTAATGAAACAACCGTCTTGATGAGGAGAAACCTTGTGAGCGGCTGAGAGAGAGTACAATGGTTAGTGTGCTATAGTCTGCATGTAAGAAAAAGAAAGGACAACCTTAAATCTCGCTCGTTTTCTGGTAATTAGCCTAACTGAGGAAGCCTTTCTGAAGCTTGAGATTGTTTACACTGGAGGCGCTTTGGGGTGACCTCGCGTGTTTGGCAGTAATTCACAGCCCTGGCAACTTTCAATCAGATTTTAATTCTTTGTCCTAACTTGACCGAGCTGATCTGCTGAATAAACCCATATGCTGTAGCAATCCCAAGTCAACTCAAGTGCCTCCTCTGTGTATATCTTTTTATTTGTCTCAAACTGTAAATGACTGGGATGATAAATCATTGCTGGGCTAGTGTATGGTAACACATCTCATCTTATACAGCTGGGCCTTTGAGAAGTCACATCTAATGATTCACAAAAGCTCTTGTGAGCCTGGGGGAACTTACTTACTATCTCATCCATGAATGAACGGAATGCACAAATAATTGCCTTTGTCAAATGTTTTTGCATTGGGTGGGAGGGGGCACGAGGAAGAAAGATAAGTGTTTGCTTCCTCTTTTTAAAAAAAAACATGTGGTTAGCAGCAGGGATATGCTCCTGCTTACTAATTTTGTAAAGCCTATGTCCAGAAACTGGAATGGCATTTTCCAGAGTTCTCTCCAACAGGTTGAACCCAAGCAGTTCTTATCTTAACTCTGAAGAAGTCTTCAAATACCTACCACTGCCACTGTCCACCCATTTAAGTCTCTCAGTGGATCAGTGGTGGCATCCCAAGTGAACATGGTCCGTGCTCAGTAAAAGGCAAGGAAGGAAGCTGATGCCACACTTTAAGGTTCTCACTTAAGAATGCCTGTGACATAAAGCTTCATATCTCATCTGTCAAGTGTGAAGCACTGTTACCCTCTAGTCCTGGCCTTGGCTCAGAGTGGTCTTGCAGTTCCTTGACAGCCAGGCCAAGGAAGAGGGATATGAATGTCTCTGCTTTACTGGGAGATCTGGAGTTTTCACTAAGGGGGTGAGGTGGCTGAGCCCAAGGAGGCACTAGACAAGCCAGCTTGTGCCTTTACTGTATGTGCCTGGGAGATAATAGAGGACTGAGTCTGGATTTAATACAATAAAACAACGACAACGCCCTTTCTGAGCAACTCTTCACTCTGGGTCTTGGATCTGCACCTTTATAACCAAGACTTTGCAAATACTTCACAGCTCCTTTGGCTTCCAAGGACAATTTTGGTGGGAAATGTCTCCTATCACCTGAGCATTTAATAGCATCTCTCAGTGCATGAGTTCTCTGAAGGGTTTAAAGCTTCCTGCTTTAGGTAGATTCCAACCCATTGCTCTCTAACTCCCTCCTCAGAAATTCTCTCTTAGCCTATAAAACCAACTCAGAATTCCCCCAAACCGGGATCTGGCAGCAACACAATTAAGCCATTAGAATTCTTCTTGAGTAGTGGAAGCTAATCAAAAGCAAACTCTACACAGGAGGAACAGGAGACGCATATTCTGAACATGCAGAATGGAAACAAATTGCTCTGGCTCCATTGTTCTTCATGACAAAAGATGAAATTGTGGATTGGCCTCATGAAAAAGATGTCTGGGACCCCCCCAAAGGCTCTGCTCTGTTTTCACATAGATGATGAGACAATAGGCTATTTAAGGAAACAGTAGATGAGCCAAAGAGGAGGATGATTTCAGCATCTCAGGCTTGGAAGCTGACAGAAATGGGACCATTAGGTCCATAGACAGTGGGGAAGATTGAGCTTCTCTGGAACCTGGCCTGAGCTCAGTCTTTGTCATAGATTCTAAGGCCAGAAAGGACAACTCTGATAATCTTCTAGTCTGACCTCCTGCATAACACAGGCCATAGAACTTCCCTGAAGTAATTCCTGTTTGAACTAGAGCAGATCTTTCAGAAAACATCTCACTGCTGTGTCTTACAGAGTAATTTAAAGATGAAAAAGATCTAAAACTCTGGCATGCTCATTAGATTTTGTTTTGCTTTAGAATGGAATTTTGTGCTGGTGAAAGGTGCTGGATTGACAGCCCTAGATGGGAACAGAGGAGAGTTACAATACAGGCAGCAGCTGTGCAAGACTTGATTCACTGCCTCACTACTGTGCTTCAGCCCTCATCGCCTGGGACCAGCTAGTGAAATGAGTTCATGGGCTATTTACTTTGTAGGATTCGCTGCTGAAACTGCCAAGAGGGGTGCCACTTGTGATGGCATGTTGACTCGTAAGGAAACCTGGGACTGGATTGAGACCTGACAATTCATTTCACACAAGGCATCAGATGGTTATCACCTTTTGGCCAGTACTGACTCAGGTTAGGTTGAAACCAGTGACGTAGGAGTGAAAAGCTCCCTATGCCTTTACCAGTCCCCTGAGCCAGTTAGTCCGTCCCTCCTTGACTTTTCATGGCTTCCTTGTAAGAACAAACATTCATCACTAATAATGAAGACCATGATCTATATTCAGTGACTCTGAGAGTGGCCTTTCCCTCCCACTCCACAACATGTGCTTTCCCCCAGTCACCATCCTGACAGCAGTGGTACATAATTTCCTTTTTCCCCTTCCCCTCTTGTTGCTTCCTGACCCCTCTTCTTGTTGAAATCCTCATGCTCCATCTCAGCTGCTCACTGGTTTTGGATTTAGCATGTTCCCAATAGCACCAGCAATGAATATCAGAGTTTCTCTTTCTCCTTGATCTTCTTTGGCAACCTCTCTCAATAGCAGATGATTCAAGGAGTCAGTGAGTAAATGTGAGACAGCTGTTGCTGGAACCATTTTCTCCCAGAGAACTGTGAGAGAGTTTTATTTTCCCTTCTCCCTGTTTCTTTTCTTGTCTTGGTGGAATTCCTTAATGGATTTTCTTTTCCCCCCCACTTCCTCACAAGAATGAGGAAGTGAAGGTCAGCTTTATTTATTGGCAGCTGTCTAAAACTTAAGCATCTGCATAACTCACTACTGACAGCTTCAGATTGGAGCACTGATTATTTCCCACTTGCATGTGCCTAAGTGACATGGATTAGTGTGTGATCACACATTTAACTCTGAACCAAATAAAATTGTATTCTCCTTGTTACAGGTTGCTGCTCAGTCTTAAGTCATCTCTGGTCTTCCAGGCATGATTGTTACTGCCCGGAATGCCTAGTATAGTACCACACAGACCCCAACAAATGAAGAAGTAGCAGGGAGATTACAAAGGGAAAGTTGGTACTTTGGGCCAATTTCTTACTTTAGTTACGTTGCTATAACCAAAGTACTTTGGTTATGTTGCTATAACTCTTTTCACTTGAATAGAGTTACTCCTGTTTTATACCAGTAGAACTAAGATCAGAATCCAAACCATAGTCTGGACTCAACTGTTGTAACTCCATTGAAATCAGTGTAGCTGCACCAGTTTACACCAAATGAGGATCTGGCTCCACCACTATAAATTCTACTGAAATGCATTTGTGAAGATGGATTATTTTATGGGACCTTGAAGAAAATGTAGACAATTCTTTTGGTAAAACTAGGGGTTAGTGTGTTTAAATTGGAAAATTTCACACTTGGGTCCTACTAGAAACTACAGCCTGAACTACTGACTCTTCGTAACCAAGACATCATTCCATCTACAATGGGTCTGACTCTGACCTCACACTGGTACTAATCTGGTGTAACACTCATGGCTTCAATGGAGTAATTCCTGATTTATTTGATTTTTGGAACAAATTGGTCCAGGTGACTTCAATTTAATTTATCAGATGGTATTCACCCAAGAGTTTTAAAAGAACTCAAATGTGAAATTGCAAAACTACTAACTGTGGTATGTAACCTATCACTTAAATCAGCTTCTGTACCAGATAACTGGAGGATAGTTAATGTGATACCGATTTTTTAAAAAAAGGCTCCAGAAGCAATCCTGCTAGTAAGCCTAACTTCAGTACCAGTTTCAAGCATTTTGCCTGTCAGACACATGGATGAACACTATTTGTTGGTGAAGGAGTCAACACAGGTTTTATAAAGGGAAATTATGCCTCAGAAATCTATTTGAATTCTTTGAGGGGTCAAAAACTATGTGGACAAGGATGATCGAGTGGTTATAGTATACTTGGACTTTCAGAAAGCCTTTGATAAGGTCCCTCACTTAGGGCTCTTAAGCAAACTAAGCAGACATGGGATAAGAGGGAAGGCCCCCTCATGGGTTGGTAACTGGTTAAAAGATAGGAAACAAAGGGTAGGAATAAATGGTCAATTTTCACAATGGCGAGAGGTAAATAATAGTATCCCCCAGGGATCTGTATGGGGGCCAGTGTTGTTCAACATATTCATAAATGATCTGGAAAAAGGGGCAAACAGTAAGGTGCTAAAGTTTGCAGATGATACAAAATTATTC